ATTCAATTATTTAAAATAAAATTTTCATAATATTTATTATATTTCGAAAAAATTAATTATTTGAAACAATGAAGAATTCAATTATTTTCAAAAATAACAAAATTTTTACTTGGAAACTCAATTATTTTCAAAAATTCTAATAAAATCGTTCGCAAGAATTTTCAATTATTTTCATAAATACTAAATTCTTCTCCGGAATTCAATTATTTTTAAAAATTTTAATAAAGTTCTTTGCAACTATTCAATTATTTTCATAAATAATAGAATTCATCGTAAGCTTTCAATTATTTTTAATACAATTTTACAAGAACTACACAAAAAATGAAATTAATGTTAAAATTTTAATTTCAATTCCTCGAGAAAATCAATTATTTAAACAAATGTTTTTTTTAATTCTTTGGAAAAATTCAATTATTTTCTAAAAATATTAGAATTTGTCACAGGCATTCAATTATTTTCAAATATTTTAATAAAATTGTTCGAAACCCAGTGGGCACACTTGTTCAAAAGACATCCTGAAGATGTCTTTTTCGGTACGTCTTTTGGACTTTGTCAAAAGACGTCCTTAAGCCGTCTGTAAGATGTCCATAACTTGTCCTTGCGTAGTATATCCGAAGGACGTGCATAAGACGTCTTAAAGTCGTTTTAAAATTGTCCTATGTCCGGACAATTGTCGCCTTTGGGATGTCGAAATGATAATTTTTCACGCTATGTCAATTGACGTCTTTAAGTCATTTTTTGGACAAAAAACTATTTCTATAACTGAAACTTTCAAAACTGTGTAATATTAAATAATTTAAAAAATTTTGTATATTTAGGACAAATTTTTTACAAGGATTTTTAAAAAAACAAAATTTTTGAAAAATAAAGCATTAAAATTCTTTTATTAAATTATATTTTCGTCTTTTTGTCATTCTAATTTTTAGATATAAAATAAAAAGAAAATAAAAATTTGTTGACATATCAAATTATAAAAATTCGTTACAAATATCGATTGTAAAATTATTTCGAAGCTTAAAAAAAATATTAACTATATTAAATTGACTTCTTTGGGTCGTTTTTAAGACACCTTTATTAAAAAAATAGCTTTCCAAATTATGAGGGTGTGTAACAAGAATTGTGAAAAACTTCCCTATCTTTTTCATACTTTATCCTTGACATTTTACAAACAATTATCCTACAAAAAAATTGCTATGCATAATATCTAAATAACGTCCCCCGAACGTCTTTTGGGCATAAAACTTAGAAAATTTTGTATATAAGATTGCAATATTTATCAGAATAACAATTTAGAGATAATTTCAGATTAGAAATGTTTATAAAACAGCTTTTTGCATAATTACAGCTTTTAAGTTGAGAAATTTTTTATTTAGGATAAAAAAAATTACCCGAAAAATTGCTGTTTATAATGTCTTAATGACGTCTTTAAGATGTCTTTTGGATATAAAATGCAGAAATTTTTCCTATGAGAAATAAGATTGCATTATTGAACAAAATATCAATTTCGAGTTTATTGTAGAGACTAAGAATGTTTACGAAAAAAAATTTTTTATACAAGCTGTTCATTTAAAAAACCTCTTTAATTTAGCATGAAAAAATGTACCTGAAAAACTGCTGCATATAATGTCCCATTGACGTCTTTAAGATGTCTTTTGGACAAAAAAATTAAAAATTTTTTGCTACGAGAAATAAGTTTGCAACATTAAGCAGACCAATAACTTTAAATATGACAGTTTCATTGAGGATACAAATATTAAAAAAGATAGTTCATCTAAAATACTTCTAAAATGTACTTGTTTGCAATTCAATTATAAAATTTCCTATTAGTGTCTTTAATACCAAAAGTTTTAAAAAAGTAGTTTTCGACACAGAACTTCCTGCAAGTTAAGTGATTTTATTCCGAACCTCAAGAAATGTAAATATTTTATTTCTTTAAATATTTACTTTGATAATTAACAAAATTAAAAAAAAACATTTTAATTGTTACATAGAAAATAATCAATTGCTTTTATCAGAAAAGTACAAAAAATTCGATAAAAGCGTTTGAAAACTTTTCCTTATTTTTCCATTTTTTATTAGATTTAATTAACTACATTTTTAGTAATTAATAAAACTGAAGCATATATCATCTAAAAATTTATTGTTATACACAGTTTGTTTTGACAGGGCGTGTGGACATGAACTATAGACAAATAAGAATGGATCCCATGTGAAGCAGAAAATCATTATGGGGAATCCACACTTCGATCTAAGATGCATATAAGCGGGACCATCAGGGTACGGTCCCATGTTGAGCAGAAAACACAATGAAAAGCAGAATTTCGTGAGAGTGGAAAGGATAGTGATATCTGACTATCTCTCTTGCACTCACGAAATTCTGCTTTGCATTCTGTTTTCTGCTCAGAATGGGACCGTACCCTGAAGGGGTATTCTATACCTCCGGTGGATTGGTCAAGCAATCGGCTCGATGAATTTTCACGGTCGGAAAATGTACTTTCATTGCGGGTATTTTTGAATAAGTAAATGTTGAAAAGGTTTTTACTTGCAAATTTATTTAAAAAAATGATTTTATCATAGAAATTCTTTTGAAAGTAATGTTAAAAAACATGTTTTATTTTAAAAGTTATCAAATTTTAATTCAAAATGTTTTAATTTTCCAAAGAAGTGTAAAAAGCCTAATGTTTTTGAAATGCTAGTACATACGGTACAGACTGTTTGTTATGAATGTACATAACCTAGCGTTGTGTTGTCTGTTCATTATTATTTAATATAATAATAATTAAATCATTAAATTTAGAATATAATAATATCACAAGCACGACAACACAACGCTAGGTTATGTACATTCATAACAAACAGTCTGTACCGTCTGTACTAGCATTTCAAAAACATTAGGCTTTTTACACTTCTTTGGAAAATTAAAACATTTTGAATTAAAATTTGATAACTTTTAAAATAAAACATGTTTTTTAACATTACTTTCAAAAGAATTTCTATGATAAAATCATTTTTTTAAATAAATTTGCAAGTAAAGCAGAAATCGTGCGATAGAAAGAGATGAACAGATATCAGGTTCTCACTCACTCACATGGTTTACGCTTTACGCCGACGCTTTCACGCCATCATGGGACGGTACCTTTAGGCTTTTTTCCTACATCGAGATATTTCGAGTTCGAGTATGACGTCAGAAAGCTGGAGGGAAAACAAACAGACGACCCAATGTAATTCTTATGGGAGGGAAAAATTTTGATACATTTTTTCAATGCTTTGCAGATTTTATAAATTTTAAACACTTTATATTTACATATATGGAATTTAAATGAATTCTATAAAATAATAATTGTAGTGGAATTAACACTTTACACTTCACAGGAACTTGAAAATATGCTAAAATGTATGTTTTTGAGGTTAGAAACGTTTGTTTACAACTATTTTATACATAGAGATAAGTGGTAAGCAGACGTTCCTAACCTTAAAAACATACATTTTAGCATATTTTCAAGTTTCTGTGAAGTGTAAAGTATTAATTTCACTACAATTATTTTACAGAATTCGTTTCAATTACATATATGTAGATAGAAAGTGTTTAAAATCCATTAAATTTTCAAAATATTGAAAAGAAAATGCCAAATTTATTTCTCCCATAAGAATTGCATTGCGTCGTCTGTTTGTTTTCCCTCCAGCTATCTGACGTCACACCTGAAATCGACTCTGACGTCACAACTGAAAAAGCCTAAAGGCCAACGCAGAATAGATCTGTAACCGGAACCGCAATCGTAAGCGTAACCGTAAGAATGAGTTAAAGAAGGATAGGTATATTGTTTATCCTTCTCTAACTCATTCTTACGCTTAAGGCCAACGCAGAATAGATCTGTAACCGGAACCGCAATCGTAACCGTAAGCGTAAGAATGAGTTAGAGAAGGATAAACAATATACCTATCCTTCTCTAACTCATTCTTACGGTTACGCTTACGATTGCGGTTCCGGTTACAGATCTATTCTGCGTTGGCCTTTACGGTTACGATTGCGGTTCCGGTTACAGATCTATTCTGCGTTGGCCTTTATGAGGTCTGTTCTCGTTGCCTGCTTTTTCTTATGGCACGGTCACACCTCGGCTCCCTGCCTGCGCAGGTAGACGCCACGAGAGTAAGAGAAAGAGAACAAATAATTTGAATTGTCTGTCTTTTTCACTCTTATGTGTTATCATGACGATCTGCAGGCAAGCAGGCAGCCGAACTGTGGCCGTGCCATTACATGAGATAGAAAAGGGCGCAAAAATATATATCTGTCCTTTTCTAACACATACTAAGCGTTTGTGAACGACGTTCGCAAAGCAGTTGCGCTTAGGCCTTTACATTTCCTGCACTAGATGGGACTGCACCATAAGTCAGAGGAGTTCCCCATGCAATTTGATTAGACGAATTTTTATGGTGCTATTACTAAATTTGATTGGTTGTGATAATTAATCCATTTTTACTGACTCTGAAGTGAAAATGGAAGATTTCTCGTAGCCAATCAAATTTAATGATACGACCATGAAAATTCGTCGAGATTTAATCAATTTAGAACATGACTATTTGAACTACGGGGACTAAAAGGCCAATAACCAAATCAAACAAAATTGCTTGACCAAAATACCGGAGTTCCCCGTTTCTGAGTATATTCAGAAACGTGAAGCAGTTTTCTAAGTTGAAAACGAGTTTTCTATCTTGGAAGCCATTGGAAGTCGTGCTAGAAAATTATTATTATGGCGGGATGATTTGAATGTCAGATTGTAATAAATTGTGATTGGTAGAAAATATGACATTCAAATAATCCCGCCATAATAATAATTTTCTAGCATGACTTCCAATGGCTTCCAAGATAGAAAACTCGTTTTCAACTTAGAAAACTGCTTCACGTTTCTGAATATATTCATAAACGGGGAGTTAAACAAGCGCCTTAAAGAAGAATCCAAATAAGGGTGCGATCCCATGTGAGCAGAATACGTCGACCAAAAGCAGAAAATCATGAGAGTGAAAAAAACAACAATATCTATATATCTCTTTTGCACTCATGATTTTCTGCTTTAGGTCGACATATTCTGTTCACATGGGATCTCACCCTTCCTTCCCGGGACCCAGTTTGATGTGCAGAGACTGAGCATGGCACAAGATATTATTATTATATTATATACTATTATTGTTATTGCCCTACATATACTTTTAACCTTGTTACACTCACTGATCAACGCAAAACACAGCTTTTGAAAGTAAACATGTTAATACATCCTCATATTTAGCACCATATTGTGCTTTCTTTTATTCTAACGATGCTCATCTATTAGTGGGGGTCTAACAAATTAACTATTAAAAACTTTCATGTTCTTTGTTAGGTTGGATCTACATGTCAACGAAAAAATAAAAAACACGATGCGCAAACGCGAGACAAATCTAACACATCATCGAAACTTTTCTAAAAGTTGAAATTACCTTGAATGCAATGTTCGGAATCTTTAACTTTGGCTGCTTCGCAAAATAAACATTGTAAACGAACTCATTCACCCAAGATTAACAACCTCTCGATACGTTTCGTATTCTTTTTATTGGAGTGTCTTTGAGTCGGTAGTGTTTGTTGTGTTGTAAGAAGATTCCAGAAAGAAATGAATGTGACATGTCTGCTGATTTATGCGGTAAGTTTATTTTAATTCCTTTCTTATTAAAAACAGATATACGAACACAATACGCCGCCATGGGACTCCACCCCAGTAAAAAAAGAAGTATTGAGTGGAGCGTTTAGGAATTGAGTGAAGCTCTGAGCCAATACGGATTCGAGTAAAAACCGTATTGGGACGTTTGACTCAATCTTTTTTTCATCCGCCGAATACGGTCTTATTTTAGCATTAAAATTAAAATCACATGAGCAGAGTACACATTATAAATTGAAAGCACAGTTATCCTGGAATGTAAAAATGCCGATTTCGATAAGAAACAGTGAATATTTTTTTATTCTTTGTTAAAAATTGGTAAAAGCAAAATTTGATAAGCGCAACTGAATTTACCATGTGAATAAATGAAGTGGTAAGTTTAAATGGACTAAAAGAAATCTACTGTTACCGACAGAAAGTTCCTAGAGAATTGTAAAACAATGAAATTTCATTGTTTTGTTGAATTTACCACAATTCTCTAGGAACTTTCTGTCGGTAAAAGTAGATTTCTTTTAGTCCATTTAAACTTCCCACTTCATTTATTCACATGGTAAATTCAGTCGTGCTTGTCAAACTTTGCTTTTACCAATTTTTAACAAATATTCACTGTTTCTTATCGAAATAGGCATTTTTACATTCCAGGACAATTGTGCTTTCAATTTATAATGTGTACTCTGCTCATGTGATTTTAATTTTAATGCTAAAATAAGACCGTATTCGGCGGATGAAAAAAAGATTGAGTCAAACGTCCCAATACGGTTTTTACTCGAATCCGTATTGGCTCAGAGCTTCACTCAATTCCTAAACGCTCCACTCAATACTTCTTTTTTTACTGGGACCCTCACTGCAGGTTTTTGACATAAAATACCTGGTCAAAATATGGGATATTTTACTGAATAAAACCACGTAATTTACCTGATATATTTTACGCGCCCAACCCTGCGTTATGTTTATTTTATTTATTTATATTTATTCATCCAGTCGATGGTTTGACCAAAACACCAGAGGTATAGAAGCACCTTTATTATAGGTCTACCGAGATTTGCGAGAATTTTCTTGTAGAAGTACCATACAGCCATCACCTATGAGGCCGCAGTCCCATGACAGCGTTTTGCGTTGCGTCGTAATGGGAGAGAAAAAGACGCAAATATACGTTTGCTGCATTCACTCTTATTACAACGTAACGCAAAACGCTGCCATGGGACTCCAGCCTTATGCTGATTCCACACTTACCCAATCGCTCCGCTTTTCCGTGGCGCTTCGCGTGAGACAGAAAAAGATAGAGATAGTCTATGTCTTTTTCTATCTCACGCAAAGCGCCACGGAAAAGCGGAGCGCTGGGTAAGTGTGGAATCAGCATTAGGGTGTAGTCCCATGGATGGCAGCGTTTTGTAACTAGGCCATGAGGGTGGAGTCCCATGACAGCGTTATGCGTTGCGTCTTAATGGGAGAGAAAAAGACGCAAATATACGTTTGCTGCATTCTCTCTCATTACGACGCAACGCAAAAGCTGCCATGGGACTGCGGCCTGAGTGCAAATATAGCGAACGTATATCTCCATCTTACGGAAGCTTCTACGCGCCACCCTGCGGCACTCACTCGCTTTACGAGGCACAAGGCAAATGTCGTTTGAAGCACCCTGCTAGTGAATGCCTTGTACGATGCCTCGGTGTGTGCCTCGTAGGGTGCCTCGATGCGTGCTTTGTGCGACCAGTAGTAGACCAGTGTTTTGAAATTTTAAACGGCTTTAAATGTAAATCAGAATTCTCAAAAAAAAAATTGACTAGTTCAGGTTAAATTAATAGCTAATTGCTGTTAATATTTTTAAATTAAAAAGTGTAAATTTTAGAATAATTGAAGGGTGGCATGACAAAAGGGAGTCAGCAACAATTTTTCGAAATTGAGATATTTTTAGAAAAAAATCAGGTAAATTCTTTTACACAGTTCTGTAAAAGGATTTTCTTGTAAATTGTTTTTTAAACTCGTTTTTAATAAAAATAAGAATAAGACAATAGCCTACATATTTTTACTTACAATGCAATTCAGTTAAAAAACAAAAGAAATGAATATTATTATGAATAGATTAATATCGTTAAAAATATTTATTTCTTTTTTATATCATTAAATATATATTAAATTTCTCTGAAAAACTGTATGTCTATTTAGAAATAATTTTTATTCTTTATCTAATTTTCAATAATTTAAATATTATTCTTCTGTTAATTTTTAAATATTCCTGTTTGTAGTTTACATTTGATAATTTCTATACTTTTTACTTTCAAAAGTTAACATTAAATTAACAATTTTCTTGAAAACAAACAACTTTTTCAAAGCAAACTTTTTTGCATTCAATTCGTCATTTCAATATTAAAAAACTAATTTTTCAGTTTTTCTTTAAACTGTATATTTTTTAACAATTATAATTTTATAACAAAATATGCGCATTTGACGTAACCACAAAATAGTACACTTTTACTTATTTTTCTCACTAATATGTAGGTTGTAGGTTTATCTTCATAAATTTTATTTCTACTGATTGAGCGAAATAGTATTTCCAAACGGTTTTTTTTAGATTTTTCTTTAATGATCAGAAAAAATTTTTATTGTGTTATTTTCGTTTCCTGTAAAATCGTTAAATTGTTGCTTGACCATTTTTGTCATGCCACCCTTCAATTACAAATTTTGTTGAATCTTGTTTTAGATTGTAGTGAGGGTGTTGAAATGTTTCTTTTACTTGAGTATAAAATGTCAAGGTTATGTTTTCACCATTTTCACCTACCAAAAAAGTTATTTATGACAAGCTGCAAGTACGATTCAATATATTTTTATATATGAGGATTGAATTCAATAATTATTCAAGATGTACATATTTGCTTAAAATTTTTAAGACAACTAGAGGTTATATAACCTATCTCTCAAGTAAAAATACATTTCAACACCCTCACTACAATCCAAAAAAAGATTCAACAAAATTTGTAATTATTCTAAAATTTACACTTTTTAATTTAAAAATATTAACAGCAATTAGCTATTAATTTAACCTGAACTAGTCAAATTTTTTTTTTGAGAATTCTGATTTACATTTAAAGCCATTTAAAATTTCAAAACACTGGTCTACTACTGGTCGCACAAAGCACGCATCGAGGCACCCTACGAGGCACACACCGAGGCATCGTACAAGGCATTCATTAGCAGGGTGCTTCAAACGACATTTGCCTTGTGCCTCGTAAAGCGAGTGAGTGCCGCAGGGTGGCGCGTAGAAGCTTCCGTACCATCTCTCTCACACGCATGGCCTAGTTACAAAACGCAACGCAAAACGATGCCATGGGACTTCAGCCTTAGGCTTTTTCAGTTGTGACGTCAGAGTCGATTTCAGGTGTGACGTCAGATAGCTGGAGGGATAACAAACAGACGACGCAATGCAATTCTTATGGGAGAAAAAAAATTTTGCATTTTCTTTTCAATGTTTTGCAAATTTAATGGATTTGGAACATTTTTTATCTACATATATGTAATTGAAACGCATTCTGTAAAATAATTGTAGTGAAATTAACACTTTACACTTCACAGAAACTTAAACGCTGCCATGGGACTTCAGCCTTAGGCTGAAGTCCCATGGCAGCGTTTTGCGTTGCGATTTGTAACTAGGCAATGAGTGTGAGAGAGATGAAGATATATGTTTGCTATATTTGCACTCATGGCCTAGTTACAAAACGCAACGCAAAACGCTGCCATGGGACTCCACCCTAAGGAGACCGAACGACATGTATTGAAAGTGGACCTGATTTCGGTTCCCTCTTAACATCGTGAAAACACCGAATGCAACACTAGCGCTACTCGCGGGAAAATGAAGAAATAAACTGCATTTTTTTAATAATCACATGCCAGTTTACTATTTACACTTGGCGAATAATAAATATTTATCACTATATTTGACTACGCTATAACCATACTACGCTGCACGTTGCTGCACATACATAATTGTAGGTTATATTATGAATTTCCATGACAGTTACCACTTTTCTCACAAGTAGCGCTAGTGTTGCATTCGGTGTTTTCACGATGCTAAGCGGGTACCAAAAAGTGGTACACTTTCAATACAGATTTCGCACGGTCGTTCGGTCTCCTTATACTACTCCATGGCTAAAATGTATGTTTTTGAGGTTAGGAACGATTGTTTACCCTTATTTTATACATTTTATACATAGAGATAATAGTGGTAAATAGACATTCCTAACCTTAAAAACATACAATTTAGCATATTTTTAAGTTTCTGTGATGATGTGTAAAGTGTTAATTTCACTACAATTATTTTACAGAATCCGTTTCAATTACATTTATGTAGATATAAAGTGTTTAAAATCCATTAAATTTGCAAAACATTGAAAAGAAAATGCAAAATTTTTTTCTCTTATAAGAATTGCTTTGCGTCGTCTGTTTGTTTTTCCTCCAGCTATCTGACGTCATACTCGAACTCGAAATATCTCGATGTAGTGAAACAGCCTAATTGTCGCAGTTTGGATGTTTCACTCTATGTGGATAAACCTTAATGTTGAAGGTTGAACTAGTAACGATACACCGGAACGGCGGAACCGGAAACCTGTCTTTTCTGTCGAGTCATCAATGGAAGCCACATCCAGCTCTTGCCAAATTATCGGAATTTTATTTTATTCCAAACAATTACATAGTGGTATGTAATTCATATTTTATGAAAATAGTGTTATTTGAAATTATATTTCGACAAATAGTTTTTTATTCATTATTTTAACAATCATAGTGTCCGACTATATAGATATAAAAAGTTAAAGATTCTGAAAATTTGGAAAATTCGTCCTTCATTTTATTTTCTGTTATTTTTGAATATTTTCGATATTACATCATAACAATTTTTAAAAGAAAAATGTTTATATAATTACAATTTCTATCAAAATTTTAATTTTTGTTTTTAAAAAAATGAATTCAATAAGATTCTTTTTTGAATTTGATAGGAACAATTGTTTTAGAGAATAAGTCTAATTCGATGAACTTTTCTTTGCAAGAATTGAATTTTTTGTAAATAATAAAATTTTTTGAAAGAATTCAATTATTTATTATACAATTTGTATGTAGTTCAGCGAAAAATTTAATTAGTGTTTTTAAAAAAAATTGTATTATATTAAAAAATTTTGATTAAATTCTTCGCAAAGAATTCTGAAACTAAATTGAAACTAAAAAGTCTAAACTAAAAAACTAACTTACTAAACTAAATTCTGATATTAGACATATTTAATTATTCATCCACTCTCCTTCAGATGATGGTGATTTATGCGAGCAATTCAACTCAATTCAGTCTACAATTCAAAAAAATATTGCCGGCGATTTAGAAAAAAACATCGTCTGAAGTTTCGAAGAGATTGGAGGATATTCGAACGCGTTACGCCTTCTAAAGACTTTTGTTTATGATCTCTGCAGATTTGTTTACTTTTCGTTTTTAATACTAGGAAAATTCCGTTTGGATTTGAAACTGATAATAAGGTAAACAAAAAATATTTATGTATTTGTAAGTTAAAAAAATCTTTTTTGAAGTTAAGTTGTTTTTTAAAATACGATAAGATTATAATTTGTTTTCGTTAAAGAAATAGATGAACGAAATAGATAAATGCAAGGTATTTAAATACGCAAAATTATTGTATTGAATTGTTAAGGATTTTTTTATCCTTTTTATCAATATTAAGATGAGATTTTTAATGTCAAAGATATTTTTAATTAAAGATGAATTGTGTGATTTAAAGGGATCAAAAGTTTTTCTCTTTGAGAGATAAAGTAGTTGACAACCATTTTTTAAAGTCAGTTTTAAACTTTTGTGTACTTTCATTATTTAATTATTCTATCGATTATTCGTTTTTGAACATCACAACACTATTGAGGAAGTAATTTTTAGAATTTTTGCTCCCAGATATAAAAACTGAAATATCTTAAGAAAAACGTATTCATCAAAATTTTTAGAACATTTTTTTCTTATATGGCATTAAAAGTTTTGAATAATCTTGTAATTAAGGAAAAGACAGGATTTTAGAAAAGTATAATTAAAATTTTTTAGGCCTTTGCACTTATCTTCAAAAATCTATTTACTAATTCAGAGTTGCCACGCAACCTGGAAAATTGGAAAACCTGGAAATGTCAGGTAATTTTATAAACTTTGAAAAAACCTTGTAAAGTCAGGGATTTTCAATCGGAATCCTGGAAAATTGTTGTTTTCTAAAATTATTGTGTTTATTCTTGAAATCTAATTTCACTTAAATGTTTCAAAATTAATTCAATTTTAAAAGAATTGCGTTTACAATTCAATGATTTTTAATATCTACTACTTTAATAAAAATTCCTAAAAGAATTCAATTAGTTAAACAAAATTTTAATAAAATTCAACGGAAACATTCAATTATTTTCATAAATAATAAAACTTAATTATTTTTAATACAATTTTAATGGAATTCCTCGAAAAAATTTATTATTCTTAAAAATGTTATTATTAAAGAAATTTAATTATTTTAATAACCTTTGCTACAATTTATTTATTAGAATTTGAGTATTATTTTTAATGAATTTATAATTAAATTTCTTTAAAGAATAAAATAATTTTCAAAAGTTTTAATGAAATTCTTTGCCTAACAATTGAATTTTTTTCAAAATAATTTTAATAAAATTCTTCTCAGAAATGCAAGTATGTTTAAAAATTTACAAATATTCTTGTCAAAATTTTAATTATCTTTATAAATAATAAAATTTTTCTCAGCAATTCAATTATTTTCAAAACTTTTAATAAAATTCTTAGCAGAATTTCAATTATTCAATTGTTTAATAAAATAATTATTTTTATAGTTAAATAATTGAATTTTCATAGAATTTTCTAATAAATATTGATTTAAAAATGAATTTCAAATTAAAATCTTTCAAAAATTTTTTGTGCATGATTTATTGCACCCTAATTATTATGTTTCTTTATCTAATGTTTTATTCAATGTCGTTTAATTTAAGTCCCAAATTTAATAACCAATAATTGGTTTATTTTATTATTTATTATACTCGTTTTAAAATAGATGGTCCACTTTTTCGAACAAAAATATTTATAATGTAGTTTCTTGCTTTGTTAAGTACATATTTTTGTAGTTGGTAGTTCAAACGGTTTAAAGTTTTTCGAAATTCAAAATATCATAAAAATTTCCAATACAAAGTTTGTAATAAAGCAAAAAGCTTTTTACGTAATCGCTTTTTTAGTCTCTGTAATAATATCGAGTTTATCATTTTCGTTAAAAGTTAAAACCGGAATCTCATTTCTCGGAGGAAAAATTTCTAAGTTCTATGTCCAAAAGACGTCCCTAGGACGTCCCGAGGACGTCAATTGGACATTATACATTGCAATTTTTCAGTTACGCTTCTTCATCTTAAGTAAAAGGTTTTCCAAATAAAAAAATTGGTAATAAAAAGCTTTTTTCGAAAACCGTTTTAGTCTCTGAAATTATATATGAGTTTATCATTTTCGTTAAAACTTAAAACTGGAATCTTATTTATCGGAGGAAAAATTTCTAAGTGCTATGTCCAAAAGACGTCCCTAGGACGTCCCGAGGACGTCAATTGGACATTATACATTGTAATTTTTCAGTTAATCTTTTTCATCTTAAATAAAAGGTTTTCCAAATAAAAAAATTGGTAATAAAAAGCTTTTTTCGAAAACCGTTTTAGTCTCTGTAATTATATAGAGTTTGATATTTATATTAAAAATTAAAACTGGAATCTTATTTCTCTAAGGAAAAATTTCTAAGTTCTATGTCCAAAAGACGTCCCTAGGACGTCCCCGGGACGTCAGTTGGACATTATACATTGCAATTTTTCAGTTAAGCTTTTTCATCCTACAGGCCTCGGATATCTTGAAAAATTGTCAAAATTTCAATTATCTTTATAAATAATAAAATTTTTCTCGGCAATTCAATTATTTTCAAAACTTTTAATAAAATTCTTGGCAGAATTTCAATTATTCAATTGTTTAATAAAATAATTATTTTTATAGTTAAATAATTGAATTCTCGTAGAATTTTCTAATAAATATTGATTTAAAAATGAATATGAAATTAAAATCTTTCAAAATTTGAACTTTTCATATTTTTAATTAAGAATTCTATAAATTTAATTTTTCTCAATAAGTTTAATGTAATTTTTTTCAATATTTAAAGTTTTTAATTTCTAATATATTTAATTGAAGAATTTCAGAATAATCGGAATTTCGTAATAATTTTAATCAAATTCTTTAAAACGATTCAATTATTTTTATAAAAAATTAGAAATTCAATTATTTTCAATATCTAGTATTATCATAAAATTTCGCAAAATAATTCATAATAAAAAAAAATTTATTCAAAATTCAATTATTTTTATAAATAATAAAACTTCCACAGGAATTCAATTAATTTTGAATAGTATTTTAAAAAAATTTCGAAAAAATCTATTCTTTAACAAAATTGTTATACAATTTATAATTTAATTACTTTCACTAATAATAACATTTTTCATTAAATTTAAAACAAAAGAAGCACATATTTTTTGGAAATTCAATTTTTTAAAAAAGTTTTGATAAAATTCTAAGGAAAAATTCAGTTGTTCTCGAAAACTTTTCGCATTTAAATGTTTTTCTATATTATCTACTATTTTTATAAAATTTCCAAATAGAATTCAATTATTTAAAAAAATTTTTGTAAAAATCTTTGTAAGATTTCAATTCTTTTTATAAATAACAAAATTTTTTTATGAATTAAATTATTTAAATTAGAATTTAAAAACATTATTCCAAAGAAATGAATTATTTAAACATTTTTATAAATTCTTCGCAAAAATTAAATTATTTTTATAAATATTTAAATTCTTTCATGAAAATTAAAATTCCAGGAATTCAATTTATTAGCAGGATAAGAAAGAAGTAAATATTTTAGATAAAATTAAGGAAAAAGTTAGGAAAATAAAATTTAGAATTATTATAAGGATATGAAAAAAAAGTTAATATTTTTTACGATAATCAGGCAAAGCGAAGGGGTAAATAAATAATCAAATTTTTGTGGGCAAATTTAAATTTTCTACTTATTAATTTTAAAGTTACTTTTTACTACTTTTTTAAAATTAAATTTTTGGTAAGGAGCCTACTGGTATACGTACGGGAAAAACGAGGAATTGAAAAAAATATCCGTGAATTTTTGGAAAATTTCGCTAATTCTTTAAAAATCTATAAAAACCCAGAGAAAAATATTATTTAAACAAAATATATTTTATTTGAGTGCGATTCCATGAGAGATCACATCGAACTAGCAGTTTCGAGAAGACAAGCCATGCTTATCGAGCTATGGGGGACATCCCAAACGTTAGTGTCGTGAAGAGCAGTCCAATCGACCTAATTGGGGGAACCAATCGAAATAGCAGTGTCGTGAAGAGCAGTCCAGTCGACCTAATTGGAGGAGCCAATCCAAGTAGCAGCTTCAGGGAGACGAGCCATGCTAGTCGAGCTAGAGGGACATCCCAAACGACAGTCGTGAAGAGCAGTCCAGTCGACCAAATGGGGGGAACCTATCGAAATAGCAGTGTCGTGAAGAGCAGTCCAGTCGACCTAATTGGGGGAGACAATCCAAGTAGCAGCTTCAGGGAGACCAGCCATGCTAGTCGAGCTAGAGGGACATCCCAAACGACAGTCGTGAAGAGCAGTCCAGTCGACCTAATTGGGGGAGCCAATCCAAGTAGCAGCTTAAGGGAGACCAGCCATGCTAGTCGAGCTAGGGGGACATCCCAAACGACAGTCGTGAAGAGCAGTCCAGTCAATTTAATGGGGGAGCCAATCCAAGTAGCAGCTTAAGGAAGACCAGCCATGCTAGTCGAGCTAGAGGGACATCCCAAACGACAGTCGTGAAGAGCAGTCCAGTCAATTTAATGGGGGAGCCAATCCAAGTAGCAGCTTAAGGAAGACCAGCCATGCTAGTCGAGCTAGAGGGACATCCCAAACGACAGTCGTGAAGAGCAGTCCAGTCGACCTAATTAAGGGAAGCAATCGAAATAGCAGCTTCCGGGAGAACAGCTTCAGTGACACTTTCAGGGAGGGCAGTCCAATTGATAGTTCCAGAGAGAGCAGTCCAATTGCTGTTGGTAATCCTAACGAGGGATTAAGAGAGGCAAATTCTGAAAACACTATCGCAGGTAATTGTTCTGCTTTCATATCTCTATCATTTATACTTTTTTGTGCATGATTTATTGTACCCCAATTACTATGTTTCTTTGTTCAATGTTTTATTCAATGTCGTTTAATTTAAGTCCTAAATTTAATAAGCAATAATTGGTTTATTTTATTATTTATTATACTCGTTTTAAAATAGATGGTCCACTTTTTCGAACAAAAATATTTATAATGTAGTTTCTTGCTTTGTTAAGTACATATTTTTGTAGTTGGTAGTTCAAACGGTTTAAAGTTTTTCGAAATTCAAAATATCATAAAAATTTCCAATACAAAGTTTGTAATAAAGCAAAAAGCTTTTTACGTAATCGCTTTTATTCTCTGTAATAATATCGAGTTTATCATTTTCGTTAAAAATTAAAACTGGAATCTTATTTCTCGGAGGAAAAATTTCTAAGTTCTATGTCCAAAAGACGTCCCTAGGACGTCCCGAGGACGTCAATTGGACATTATACATTGTAATTTTTCAGTTAATCTTTTTCATCTTAAATAAAAGGTTTTTCAAATAAAAAAATTGGTAATAAAAAGCTTTTTTCGAAAACCGTTTTAGTCTCTGAAATTATATATGAGTTTATCATTTTCGTTAAAAGTTAAAACGGGAATCTTATTTCTCGGAGGAAAAATTTCTAAGTTCTATGTCCAAAAGACGTCCCTAGGACGTCCCGAGGACGTCAATTGGACATTATACATTGCAATTTTTCAGTTACGCTTCTTCATCTTAAGTAAAAGGTTTTCCAAATAAAAAAATTGGTAATAAAAAGCTTTTTTCGAAAACCGTTTTAGTCTCTGTAATTATATAGAGTTTGTCATTTTTATTAAAAGTTAAAACTGGAATCTCATTTCTCGGAGGAAAAATTTCTAAGTTCTATGTCCAAAAGACGTCCCTAGGACGTCCCGAGGACGTCAATTGGACATTATACATTGCAATTTTTCAGTTACGCTTCTTCATCTTAAGTAAAAGGTTTTCCAAATAAAAAAATTGGTAATAAAAAGCTTTTTTCGAAAACCGTTTTAGTCTCTGTAATTATATAGAGTTTGTCATTTTTATTAAAAGTTAAAACTGGAATCTCATTTCTCGGAGGAAAAATTTCTATGTACTCTCTAAATCTGAATATGTGAAAATTCACATATTTGTACGTTATAAGTCGTCTTCTCGATCAATAAGTGCATATACACTTATAATAAGTGAAATTTCACTCAGAATAAGTGAAAAATTCACTTATTTATAAGTGTATATGCACTTATTGATCGAGAGGACGACTTATAACGTACAATAAGTGAAATTTCACATATTCAGATTTAGAGAGTAGACACCCGTTTCAGAAAGAACTTGTTTTTTCTTCTTTTTTCTAGTCTATACTTTTAACAAACAAAATATCTTCATATTTCTGAAATATTTAAATAAATAAAAAGTAATTAAACAATTTGGTAAAAATTTGAAAATTTTTAAAGTGCATACAATGCAGGGTGTCTACTGATCCTTGAAGTCCTGGAATACCTGGAAATGTCCTGGAATTTGAATAAATGTCCTTAAATGTCCTGGATTAAAAATTTTACTCAATTTTAAAAAAATAATTTTTTTGAGCCATCAAAAAATAATTTCAATTTGTCATTTGATTAAAGAAACTGGTATCTATACAATATTCATTTTTAACTTTTTTTATAATAAAATAAATATTTTTGTTTAAGTATAGGTTAATTTAAATTATTTTAAAATCGTAATATGAAATAATATTACACATGGTTGCCACAAAATTTTAATTTTATTTTTCCCTGATTTCCAGACAAAATTTTCAGGTTTTTCCTGACCCTGAAGAACATTAATAACTTCTTTTTTAAAATAAATATTTAATCATTATTATTTTTCTTTAGGAATTTATATTCTCAAATTCAATACCTAACTTACGAGAATATTATAATAAATTTAAGATAACAAAGTAATAAAATCATTATTTTATTTCATAAGAATATTGTAATTAAAAATTCAAATTTTCAAAGATTTTAAATTAAATTATTTTTAAAATTAAATTAATTCTAAAAATTCACGCTATAATGTTTTTAATATTCAATTATAATTTAAAATTTTAAGAGAAATTCATTTTTGAATAAATTTTTATTAGAAAATTTCTTCAGAATTCAATTACTAAAATACAAAAATAAATAATTTATTCAGTAATTACATGTTTTACAAAATTGAATTTTTATGAAGAATTTCATCAAAATTTTTAATAGCAATTGAATTTTTTCAGCGAATTTTATAAAATTATAAAAAATCTTTATTAAGAATTATTTGAATTCCTGTGAAGAATTTTATTTGTAAAAATAATTGAATTTCAGATAAAAATATTATTTATGAAAATAATTAATTTCTTGTGAAGAATTTTACTCAAATTTTTTTAAATAATTGAATTTTTCAGAATTTTTAAAAACTCTTTAAAAATAGTTAAAATTTAATACAAAATTAAAAAAAAATTTTTAAATTATTTAATTCCTGTGAAAATGTTTATTTTAAAAAAAATTGAATTCTTGGGAAGAATTTTATTAAAATATCTTAAATAATTGAATTGTTTCGAAGAGTTTTACAAAAATTTTTGACAATAATTGTATTTATAGAAAAATGTTGTTTTTTACGAAAATAGTGATATTCTATGGCCGATTTTATTGTAATTTTTCAAATTTATAGAGCATTTTATCAAAATTTTTAAAAATAATTGAATTCTCAAGAAAAAAAATAATTGATTTCTGGCGAAGGATTTTATTCAAATTTCTTTAAATAATTGAATTTCCTTAAAAATGTAATTTTGTGAAAATAATTTAATTCTTAAGGTGAAATGTTTTGTAAATAATTGAATTATATAAGAAAATTTTGTTAAAATTGCAATTTAATGAACTAAATCTTGTAAAGAATTTCGTCAACTTTTATTTAATTAATAGAATTATTAAGGGTGTTCGATCAAGAAAGGTATTTAAAAATGGCGGTCAGAAGTTATACTTTTTTTGATACGAATGTTTATCGTAATTGACACATTGATAGTAATTTGAAAAGAATCAGCCGGAATTTTGAAAATTTTTGCTTTAATTTGAGTCTAAGAAATTGAAGATTGTTTAACATATATGCAACAATAGGAAGTAAACTAAGAGATTTCTATGTACCTGGTGGGTGATGCCCTCTGAAGATATTTTTTAATAGCACTAATTTGTTTATATTTCGCTTGTGTGGTTCTAGTTTACTTCCTATCATTCTATTTATGTATAAATGTTTAATTTATTAGAAGAAAATGAAAGTACAACCATTCAAGATTCCGGCTAATTTTTTAAAAATTGTGATAAATGTCTCAATTGTGATAATAATCTATTTCAGATGAAGCATAAGTTCTGGCAGCCATTTTTAAAGGTTTTTCTTGTTCGAACACCCTTAAAAGATTTTTATTTAAATTTTTTGAAATATTTGAATTTCTGAGACTATTTTTTCAATTTTTCTTTATATAGGGTAAACGTACCAATTGTCGAGGATGGTTCCTGTTGTCGAGTAAACAAACTTTGAATTTTATTTAAACAGTGTAGCACATTGAAAATGAAAAAAAGTAATAAATATTAATTTTTTTATGCGTTATAAATGTAAAAAAAATATATTAATATTATATAAACAAACAAATGAGACATTTTAGACAATATTTTTTGGTTATTACCATGGTAACATCGACAAATGGAACACCCTCGGCAATTGGTACACTTACCCTATTTAAATTTTTTCAAAAATTTCATGAAGGGTGCAGTCTGGGTCTTTTGCACGTATTTTGAAGAATTTTTTTTATAGTGAAATTCATTTAAACATTTCTAAATTTTTACATATTATTACACGTATATTAAAATAAAAATAAAATTTTTCTTTATGTATTTTTTGTTGTTAATAGCGAAGAAATGGAGACTGTAAAAAAAATCTGAAAAATCTGGTTGACATGATATCTTCAGTCAGAACAAACAGAATCAAAAAATTCAAACGGATTATTAAAATATAGGTAAATGTTTACAGCTGGAACTAAAATAAAAAATTTGCATTGAAAAATAACAAAATGGCGGACTTTCTACTTTTTCAACGCTTCTTTTGCAACTAAAATTGTTTAAAAAATAGGTTAAAAATTATTTAAAAATTATGATTTTAGTTCAGGCTGTAACCATTTACATACATTTTAATAAACCGTTTGAATTTTTTGATTCCGTCTGTTCTGACTGAAGATATCATGTTAACCAGATTTTCGAGATTTTTTTTTACAGTTGGCCATTTCTTCGCTATTAACCCTCTGCCTACGCTGAGTTATCCCCACTCTAGCGCTTTTAAATGTAATTCCCATAGTCCCCACCAGGCGACCGAATTGTCGTTTTTTGTCGATAACGGTCACTTGAGTAGGCAGAGGGTTAACAACAAAAAATATAAAAATAAATTTTTTTTATTTAGTTTAATATATCTGTAATATGTAAAAATTTAAAAATGTTTAAATAAATTTCACTATGAAAAAAAAAATTCTTCAAAATACGTGCAAAAGACCCAGACTGGCCCCTTAAAAGATTTTAAATAATTAAATTGATACGAAGAAATTTATAAAAGAAATTAGTACCTAAGTAATTGAATTCCTGTTAAATTTTTATTAAAATTTTGTTTAAATAATAGAATTCTTTTGGAAAATTTTATTTAAATGGATCTCAAAAATAATTGAAATGAGGAATAATTTTGAAAATAATTGAAATTTTGCCAAGAATTTTATTAAATTTTTTGAAAATAATTGAATTTTGGAGAAGAATTTTATTATTTATAAAGATAATAGAAATTTT